CATTGCCATTGCCATTGCCATTGCCATTGCCATTGCCATTGCCATTGCCATTGCCATTGTCATGTCATTGCCATTGTCACTGTCACAGTATGTCATTGTCATTGTCATTGTCACTGTCATTGTCCCTGTCCCTGTCCCTGCCGTTGCCGTTGCCGTTGCCGTTGCCGCTGCCGCTTCCGCTGCCGTTGTCGTTGTCGTTGCCATTGTCATTGTCATTGTCGCTGTCATTGTAATTATGACGATGATGATGATGATGATTATATCCCTTCAATTTACTCTACAGAAACAGTTACAGGCAATCATGCTCAGACAAGGCGATAGTAAATTTGACGATATGGGAAAGGACAAGGACTCGTTAAGGTGAGTATTCTCCACTATAAAGCGCATGGACAATGATAACATCATTAGCATAGATCTGCCAAACACATTCTGCGTAGCTGTGCAGTAAATGAATCCTTTAAGCTAAGTATTTTTTCAACAAATGCATGCACATGTTCTCATCATAATCATCATCTCATTTGTTGATGTTTTGCAGGCAAAATTTTCTACGAATAAATATCTATTTTGAAGAGCTGAACATGGAAAAAATTACTTACTCGGAATATTACGCAGTAAGTATAAGCGTCAGTGAAAATATGTATAGTATATTTACATGCGTTAATCAAACGGAATGGGTGCAAAAAATTATTTATTAATATGGAATAAGATAGTGTTTTATGTTCCCTTCGCAAATAATGCACGCTTGAGGTGTTGAAAAACTGCTAATTGATGCACGGGCGGATGCGAGTCCAGTTCAGTTTTTCAGTTTTTTCTGGACTTCAAAAGTGCATTGTTTTCTTAGAAATCATAGGAACACCATCTTCTATTTGATTAAGAATATAGCGTAACAAGAGACGGTGATCTACTCTTTGATCATCGTCTCTCAGTTGATCATGAAAAAGCGAAAATGCTTACATCTGAGAAGGGGCAGTGATTGCGCTGGAAGCACAACATCCGGGAGATACGTGGGGGCATAAGTGCTCTATGATTACCAGCCGTGCATCAATAAAAAAAGGCGTGCTCGGTTCCAATAACGGGTATACAACTGTTATATTCTTATGCAACACAAAGGGAGGGAAAACAACTGAACCAACTGCCTAGACACTTCAGACGTTGAGTCTTCAGAGAACTGACATTTCGGCGAATATCAATCCATGGATAGTGTGCCAACAGTGTAGATATCTGAAAAATCACTTTTACCAGTTATGATTTTCTGGTGATACATAACGCGGAAGTACTTAGCGACAACTTCGGAGCAAGCTTCTTTGACAACTTTGTGCAACCCTAAACTCTACAATAAATCGTTTTCGGGTTAATTACCAAATATGTTCAGTTCTAAGTTCCCACTGGTTGTTTTCCTTAAATTGTCCATAATCTCAGTAAATGACGATGATCTCTCTGCTCCCTATAGTTTGAGAATCTCATGAGCGACATTGGTGGACAGTTGGGTCTTTGGATAGGCGTGTCAGTTATCACAGTAGCAGAGGTGTTGAAACTACTCCTGGACATTTTCAAAGTGCTGTTCCAAAAGTTATATTTCACTGACGTCAAAGAAATTAAAGACATAAACATGTCATAGCACATGATGCAGCCGATCATTGAAAGAAGCACCGCACGAACATGTAGCCATCTTTACGTAGAAAGATCGTTTGTGCTTCACCTAGTCTAACACATAGGAACTACGAAAGGTACGGGAATCGAATCAAGGTCCAAATTGCAAATTCGGTAGATGCTTGAGAATATTACTTTTAAATGACACATTTGTTAGGTTCTTGGTTGATTGTCAAATAACAACGAAATCTTGGAAGTCAGGTCCGGCAGTGTAGCAAAGGTGTTAGGCCCTCTGTACATAAATGAAGAAGCATCTTGTGCGCAAATACAACCTACAGTTCAGCCATTTTTTTTTTGTCAAAAGGGAGCTAAACTCACGACTAAGTACCTTCGCTCGCACATGAAATGCACTAAGGACTTGAAGGGAGAGCGAATCGTAATTTAAATGTCTTTATCGATACTAGCAACGAACGATTACTAGATTTGAAGAAAGTCTTTCAGACTTCTTCAGTTTTAGATCAGAACCTTGTGTGCCTCAGCGCATATTGTGTGCTAATGTTTCAAAATGACTACACCTATACTTTAGGTTTTCCTCGATGTAAATATGTCTTTTGACTTCTGGCTTTTTGAAGGCATGCTCTTGATAGCGCCAAACTCGTGCACACCAAAGATAATTATACTGTTAGTTTTCTGTTAGAAAAAAATCAAGTTACAAGAAAATTATTTAAAATGTATTATCTGTAAGATAATTAAACGGTTAGATTATAATTTCCAGTTGTGTAATTTATAACATATCTCATGCTAGTGCTAGGTCAAATGAGATCATCATCAGTCATCATCATCATCATCATCATCGTCATCATGTTTACTTTCAGAGATATCCAGATTCTGAAGACCAAGCCATACTGAGTGTGCCATTACTTACTTGCTTGTAATATAACAAAGGGAAAAAATGAATTTAAAAATTCTGTGTCTTCAGTTGATCTTCAGCTCTTTTCGCATTTTCAGATTTGCTCACGAGAATTTGTGAGTGCGGCGTCCACGTCTCGTCCCAATCATTCCCTTCTTGTTTGAAAAATATCGCCTCACGCTCGCCGCCTCATTTCGAGAGAAAACCAGACTTCCAACAGTCTAAAAAGTGCCCTGTTTCTAAACCATCATAGTCTGCGAGCAGGCTCACGTTTGCGGATTGAGCGCGAGCATTGAGCGTGCGTGGCAAGGACGCGCACGTGAGTGGCGAAGCCGTGATTGTCACAGCGAGCGGAGCCTGCTCGCAGGCTAAAACCACCAGAATTCAGTAATTTTTCCCTTTACAACGCGTGTTCTAATTGGTTAAAAAAATCTCGTAATTTACAAGTGTAGAAAACACTTGTCACTACCATGTATGGCTCATGCTTCTGAGATCATGCTCATGAATTTTGTTCCTTTTCGTGTTCTTGCGATTACTTGTAACACAATGATCTGACTTCTTCAGCTATAAAGATGCTGTATTTTACCCGATTGAATATACCCCAGTACGTATTCTACTTTTTCCTGTAGCCGAGGGCATCTTTACATAGTACTATGCATTTTACTGTATAACTTCTATTTTCTTACGGTGAATGGATTTTAAAGAGCGCTCAACTCTTAGAGGAGCATTGTATATTCATTGAATCCAGTTCATGACTTCAGGAGTGATTCATCGTTGTTATGATGGTTTCAATGATGCTATGACGCTTATTACGTAACGCAATAATAAGCATCATAGTAACCATGCATTTGCTATTTAACCGACAGCATTTTAATAAATTCATCGGTCATTCGTTGAAAACGATGAATCACTCCTGAAGTTCAATGAATATACATTTTACTGTGTACATGTTTAATCCATGCCTGCCCTTGCGTCTCGAAGTTAGATGTATACCACTTACAACAAAAACGCCATATTTTAGACCAATCAGTATCAAACCCAACAACTGCGTAAATTTAACATGCATGGTTCGGATTCGTCCAGCTCTGGTTACTGCGCAAAATCTGTCGGATTTGTTATAGGTTTCCAAAGTGACATGTTTTCTCTCGCTTATATGCCCTGATGATTGTCACTTATTTGGTTTGGTTCATCATTAGCGATTACTGATTGTGTCTCGCTTCTTCTACCTCTCGCCCGTAACGCTACAAAATACGCTTAGGAATAGATGATACATAGACTGTAACCTGCGTAACGTGAGTCACTATACTCTTATTTGGAAATTATAAACAAACAGTTTGCGGCTATTCAGATAGTCTCCTTTCACCTGCCACGTATAACTTTACAAGCACGTTTGAATAACAGTTTTGACGGATAGGTGGGTGTAAGCTAAACAAATCACTCGCGTTAGTCCTATCCGCCACTGTTGCTCCCAAATAAGGCCACCCGTATACTGTCCATTATTTGCTCAAAGACAGCTGCTTCTCGGCACACGTCAGATTTTATTTCACACGAAAGCTTGTTTAACACTCACTCCGAATGCAGAGTTCCTCTGCTGCGAACGCACGTCACGTAAAAAGCGAGATTTGCCCTCCAATTGACTTTATCAGAACCTAAACTTTCTTTTCGGTCGGAAATCAACAGTCAGGATTTATGGAGCCCTAAAAGAAGAAGTGGACGACTATTTCTGAAAAAGAAAAAGCTTGTTAAATTTTCTGCACTCGGGGAAGATCGTTTTACCAGTGATTCACGGTACCTCGAGAAAAGTGATGAAAGATAAGAAACAGTGGGCAGAAACTTTACCTCATCGCAAGGCAAACAGGTAAAGATGAACGTACCATTTTTATAAACCTTAAGACGAAATCCGATAGGAAATCGAGCAATTCAAACTTTTAATGGACAAAACCCTTGTACCAGAATAATTTTAAGTATATTACAGTCCTTTATGCTAAAGATATAAATATTTACCTGAAACAACCCAGAAACAATTTCCCATGGGAAGCCGAGGAAATATATTTCAAATTTCAGAAGAATTGTGTAAATACAGGTAAAATTTTTTTTGATCATTTTCATTTCACCAGTACTTTCAAGTGTTTCATCTGAACCTCGACATTTGTTTTCTAAATTTGGTGTTGTTGGAAATGATTTCTTTTGAGAAGATATTTAAAACAGTCGCATAGAAGTTTGCAATATAATGTATATAATGTTGGTACTAAGCCGTTTTTGTCCACTAGTTACTCGAACTTATGGTGGATTCCCTCTTAATAGTTAACAACGAGCAAATGTCACAAATCGATAGATGGAAGATTTGTCAACGCCCACCAGCTCTGTTTAGTTTTAACAATGACTGGCTGCGAGGGAAAGAGTAAATTTTCTACCTTATGGTCTGCATGTTCGCATGGATAAAATGTGGCAACACTGAGATTTGAGGGAAAAAATCTTTATTTTCTAGCCAGAAATCATTTTTAAAGGGAGAGTTTCATGAAGAAATCGTAAGCAAGTCGCCTAATTTCCCATGCAAATAGCCGTAAAATCATCAACCGTAGAATAAATCGTACGGGTCAGAACTAAATTCAACAGTCGACAGCATCGGTAAAATCCACTGAAATCGTCTGAGACTTTTGGTCAACCGTCATTCTACCACGACTAACTATAGCATGTGATTACTGAGCCACATTTGAGTGGGGTTTTTAAAGCGATAACATTGATATAAAAAAGTGAACAAAAGTGTTTTATTTAGAGACATGCGCCGAACCAAAGGCGAACAAAAGTGTTTTATTTAGAGACATGCGCCGAACCGGGAAACCCTACCTTTAAATATTTCCTTCAAATAACGTCATGAAATGCAGAACCACGAGCGAAGCAACTAGTCTCACTGCAAAGCTTTGGACATTTTATGACGACATTTTACTGAACTAAGTTTAAATCACGGCAATAAATTCACTTGGGATTTTAGAGCAATGAGTGGGAGATGAAGAAAAAATATTAAAAATTGTTGTAGGATCTCCCGAAGTCTTCTACATATTATATTTGCTCAAGGCAGGTGATTAACTCCTTTTCTGTAATACCAAGTAACTGACAAAACCGCTTGGGAGGGTGGCCTTATGGTTAGTGCGCTCGTCTTCGGATTGAGCGGTCTGGGTTCGAACCCTGGTCGGGGTCGTTGTGCTGTGTTCTTGGGAAAGACGCTTTACTCTCACAATGCCTCTCTCCACCCAGAGGTATACATATATAAAAGAAATGCTTCTCCCTGAAGATGTTAGTCCATCGCCTGATTTATAAAGATTGGTGCGGGATTAACGTTTGTCTCGAAACAAAACACATTGACTACTCAGTCAGGTTAACCATTATGTCCAAGCCTGTCCAACAGATCTGACTAAACTCCAGCTATGTTTACGAAATAAGGAACTTAAAGCCATGCTTTTTCCTTTTAGTTAATCAGAATGCGCGTGATATCTATACTGATTAGAAAACGATATTTTCTCGATTGCAATTATTTCAAACAATTCAGGCCCGTTTCGAAGGTAATGATTTTCAGCTTGAACTTTAAAAGAAAGGATAAAAGACGTAGTCATTTGCCGTTTCCACAACGAATGGCAATCAATTTCCTATCGAAGTTATCATTCTGTCGGAGAGGTATTAATTGATTAAAAATATAACACAAACAGCGGTGATAAACATTTTAAAAACATGCATTTTATGAACCTGACGTTTCGTATGTTAGTCAACCTACATTTTCAAAAGTATAACCGTTAAAATTTTTTGAAAAGCTTTTTATACTGTATCGATGGGGGTCTGGAACCCAGACAGTAAAACATCTACAGTGGAAACTGTCTGTAAAGTGACACAATGGAAAAGCTTTTCTAACAAAGTGAAAGATTTTCACTGCTGACATTGACATTCAATGCTGGCTGCAACTCCTGAATAAACAAGGTCTCCTTAACCTTACAATCGTAGTCAGTTTTGCCGGACGCCAAAGTGCCAAAATAGTCCCATTTGATGTTGTGACCAGTTGTTTTAACGTGATCAGCAATAGCAGAAGAGTGATCACGTTTCGGAAGGGCCTTGAAATGTTCCGTTTTCCGGTCGTGAAGTCTTCGTTTCGTTTTCCCAATGTAAAAATCATTG